ATATATATATATATATTTATATATATATATATATATATATATATATATATATATATATATATATATATATATATATATATATATATATATATATATATATATATATATATATATATATATATATATATATATGTTTTATGTTATTTTTTTTTTTTATTGCAGTCCGGGGCTCTGTTGGCGTGTGGAATCGTGAACTCTGGTGTTCGTAATGAATGTGATCCTGCTCTCGCTCTGCTGTCTGATTACGTCCTGCACAACAGCAACATCATGAGGATCGGAGCCATTTTTGGGTAAATTACAAATAACACACTCTTACACGCACACGAATAACACACAGCATTTCATTCATTTTCCTACAGCTTAGTCCCTTTATTCATCAGAGGTTGCCACAGCGGAAAGAACCACTATCCCAGCATATGTTTTACACAGCGGATGACCTTCAGTACTGGGAAGCACACATACACACTCATTCCCACACACACTCGTACACTACGGCCAATTTGGTTCATCAATTCCCCTATACCACACGTGTTTGGACTGTGGGGTAAAACCAGAGCACCCGCAGGAAACCCACACCAACACGGGAGAACATGCAAACTCCACACAGAAACGCCAACTGACCCAGCTGGGACTCGAACCAGCGACCTTCCTGCTGTGATGCCACAGTGCTAACCACTGAGCCACCGTGACGCCCACTCTTCAAGATCAAACTATTTAGTACTTTATTAAGTGGTGTTTAATTGTGTGTGTGTGTGTGTGTGTGTGTAGGCTCGGTCTGGCATACGCCGGCTCAAACCGAGAGGATGTGCTTTCTCTTCTACTTCCTGTCATGGGAGACTCCAAATCCAGCATGGAGGTGAGTGTGTGTGTGTGTGTGTGTGTGTGTGTGTGTGTGTGTGTGTGTGTGTGTGTGTGTGTGTGTGTGTGTGTGTGTGTGTGTGTGTGTGTGTGTGTGTGTGTGTGTGTGTGTGTGTGTGTGTGTGTGTGTGTGGAGTGGTTGTTGTGTATATGAGTGTGTATAAGTGTAATGGCCAAATTTCTGTGTGAGTGTGCATGTGTCTATATCGCTAAATATGTGTGGGTGTCTATGCATTTGTGAGTGTGTATGTGTTTTATGTCCATTTTCCTGTCTGTCTGTCTGTGTGTGTGTGTGTGTGTGTGTGTCTTTTATAATATACATTTCTGTGTGTCTGTCTGTATGAGTGTGTATATGTTTTGTCTATATATATTTGTTTGTGTGTGTGTATGATGGTCCTGTGTGTGTGTTCTGCAGGTAGCAGGAGTGACGGCTCTGGCGTGTGGGATGATCGCTGTGGGTTCCTGTAATGGTGATGTCACTTCCACTATCCTGCAGTCCATCATGGAGAAGAGTGAGCAGGAGCTGAAGGACACGTGCGCTCGCTGGCTGCCACTCGGCCTCGGACTCAATCACCTCGGTGAGACACATACACACGTACTCGAACTCACAAACATACTTACACACACACACACACACTTACTCACACTCTCTCTCACACATACACATTAACACTCACGCACACACACAAATGCTTGCTCGCTTACGCAGGCACACACACGCACACACACTCGCGCATACACATTCTCACACTCTCTTTCGCTCATATACACTAACACACACACACACTAATGCACGCTCACACTGACACACACAAACTCTCACACTCACTCATTCACTCTGTAACACTCAAACACACACACACACACACACACA